AAAAATGCACCTGAAATTTATCCTGAAAGGTTATTTGGGAAAACATGAACCTGAAATTTATCCTAAAAGGTTATTTAGGAAAAATGCACCTGAAATTTATCCTAAATGTTCTGTGGGAAAACATGAACCTGAAATTAATTCCACAGGTCCTTAATGAAGAAATGAATCCGAATTTCACCCCACAGGTCCTTAATGAAGAAATGAATCTGAATTTCACCCCACGGGTTTTTAATGAAGAAATGAATCTGAATTTCACCCCACAGGTCCTTAATGAAGAAATGAATCTGAATTTCACCCCACGGGTTTTTAATGAAGAAATGAATCTGAATTTCACCCCACGGGTTTTTAATGAAGAAATGAATCTGAATTTCACCCCACGGGTTTTTAATAAAGAAATGAATCTGAATTTCACCCCACGGGTTTTTAATAAAGAAATGAACCTCCCATCTGAGGCAGCTCTATGGGGAAAGGCTTTTCCAGGGGTTTGCAGCAATTTATTTTATTGTGATTTTTTGGGGTGTGTGATAATTCACCTGTGGGGAATTTTGGGTCAATTCGAGATTTCCAGCAGTTTATTTTATTGTGATTTTTTTGGGGTGTGTGATAGTTCACCTGTGGGGAGTTTTGGGTAAATTTGTGCAATTCCTGCTGTGATTTTCCTGCATTAATTCTCTTTTTTTCCTTAGCTTCATAAAGGAAATATTAAAAAAAAAACCACAAAAATGCTTTTTTTTACCTGGAATTTCATCCGATTTGTGCACTTCCTGCTGTGATTTTCCCGCGTTAATTCTCTTTTTCATTATATTCATAAAGGAAATATTAAAAAAAAAAAAAAAAACACAAAAAATGCTTTTTTTTTACCCTGGAATTTTATCTGATTTGTTCAATCCCTGCTGTGATTTTCCTGCATTAATTCTCTTTTTTTCCTTAACTTCACAAAGGAAATATTTAAAAAAAACCACAAAAAATGCTTTTTTTTTCTCTGGATTTGTCTGATTGGTGCACTTCCTGCTGTGATTTTCCCGCATTAATTCTCTTTTTTTCCTTAACTTCACACAGGAAATATTGAAAAAAAAACAACACAAAAAATGCTGTTTTTTCTCTGGATTTTGTCTGATTTGTGCACTTCCTGCTGTGCTTTTCCCACATTAATTCTCTTTTTTTCCTTAACTTCACACAGGAAATATTAAAAAAAAAACCACAAAAAATGCTGTTTTTTCTCTGGAATTTTGTCTGATTTGTGCACTTCCTGCTGTGCTTTTCCCACATTAATTCTCTTTTTCTTTCTCTTTTTCCCTGCAGACCTTTGTAGTACTAAACCGAGGGAAAACGCTCTTCCGATTCAGCGCCACTCCTGCCTTGTACATTTTAAGTCCTTTTAATCTCTTTCGAAGAATAGCAATTAAAATTTTGATACATTCATATCCTTTTTTTAATTACTCCATTTCCTCGGCGGGATCCTTGGAAACCTCTCGGCTCCGTTGGTTTTTTTCCCTGTTTTTTTTCCATTTGTTGGGAAAATCTCTTTTTTTTGGTTCCGTTTCCAAAAGAAAAAATGGAGATGTGACCTCAAAAAATCCAGATTTTTACTGGGGGAAACACATATATGTTATGTATAATATATGCTATATATCGGTTATATAGTATATATTTATATATCATTATTTCGTTATATAGGTATAATTATTTTTTTATATTATTTATTTATATATGATGTTTTTTATAGTTATATATATAAAGTATAACTATGTGTAACTATATATGTATATATAGTTATATAGTATAACTATATGTAATTATATATGTATATATAGTTAAATAGTATATATGTTATTGAGGATATAAATAGTATAATAACATAGTATATTAAAAATATATAGTATATAAATATTGTATATAATCTAGTGCATACAGCATATAGTATATCTGTTATGTAGGATATAAATAGTATAATAATACAGTATATTAAATATATAGTATATAAATATATGTTATGTAGGCTATAAATAATATTATAATGCAGTATAATATAATAACACAGTATATAAAAATAGATATAAATTTTGTATATAATACATTGTATATAGCATATAGTATACATGTTATGTAGCATATAAACAGTACATATAATACAGTATATTAAAATATCTGGTATATAAATATTAGTATATATTTATATAGGTATAGTATATAAGAATATGTTATGTATAATAATACAGTATAAAAATATATTAAAAATATATAGTATATAAATATTCAGTATAATAATTATATTCAGTATAATAATAATATTCAGTATAATAATAATATTCAGTATAATAATATTCAATATAATAGTAATATTCAATAAAATAGTAATATTCACTATAATAATATTCAATCTAATAATAATATTCAATCTAATAATAGTATTCTATATAATAATGATATTCAATAGTCAATATAATAATAATACAATAATCAATATAATACTAAAAATACAATTAAATATAAACCAGTACAATCAGCACATCGATACTGCAGCATGTGACACAACACATAAAAACCAGAAATAATCCCATTTTCCCTCATTTCCCGCATTGCTGGGAGGGATCAGCTGGAAATTTCCCTTCACCCCGAAATCCCAAAATCCCCAAATCCCCGGAAATCCCAAATCCCCGGAATCCCCAGATCCCGAAATTCCCGAATCCCCGGAATTCCCGCGTTCCTTGACTGGCCGCACGGTGTTCAGCATGATCATCATGTGCACCATCCTCACCAACTGCGTCTTCATGACCCCAAAATCCCCAAAATCCCCCAAATACCCAAATCCCCCAAATCCCTGGAATCCCCAGATCCCCAAATCCCGAAATTCCCGGAATTCCCGAATTCCCGCGTTCCTTGACTGGCCGCACGGTGTTCAGCAT